ATTTACATACAATTAGAATTTAAGTCTTCTTTTGTTGAGATTACATTGAATTATGCACCAAGATGGAGGTAATGAAACCAGTTCACTCTGTTTCTCTGTCTGACTACTTATTTAAAATCTTGGTAAAATCAAGGTACTTTGTTTCAATAAAGTATTAGATTCTTATGGACAGAAACGCCTCTTATTTGAAGCGCAGTTCATCTTTAATAAGTCTACAGATTAGTTACTTTGAAAATTTAATGTTTCAAAATTAAGTTTTCATCATAGGCTTAGTGATTATCATTTAGTGTTTATTGAAAGTTTAGTCTTAATTTTGCTCCTGACATGGGCTGTGTCTAGTTCATGGAAACATTTATTTCTCGGGGTGTTACTGCTTGGTTAAGATCTGCTAGTGTGGAACAACAAGTATGGAAACATGTTTGAACACTTTCACGTGTCTTCGTCAATCCAACTTTGTTGGACTGAGGAGGACACGGGAAAGTGTTGAAACTTGTTTCCTAAGAATGGATCTTAACTTCATTTTAGACTACTTTACATGGTATTGGGTATTTACGTACTGTTACTTTTACTATATAGTTTTCTCTTTCTTTCTGTATAATAAATAAGACTTTAAATCTTGTTTTTAGGGTACATTTTTTATGTGACTACCAGATGGTGGTAGTGAAACCCAGTCATCATGGCTTGGTGTTATACTTTTACTACTAACTTTGTCTTAAAATGGTCATGATGGTTTGTTGAGATAATATATTATATACTTATGAATAGAAAAATATTTTCATATAGAAGCATTCTTCATCAGTTACAATTTTGCTAGTTATTGAATATATATTTATTCTATTCCTCTACCTTAATAATCCAGAATTAAATTTAAAGTTATACTTAGTCATTTTTGTTTAGTGTGTGTGTGTGTGTGGAATTACACCGTTGTTTATACCCCTAAATAATATCCTTAGATATACTGCTCCACCAAATTTTATCATGTATCTGCAAGATTAGTTTGCAGGTTTTTGGAAGACACCTGCAGTCACAAGCTAATTAGTATCGCTAACTTTGTTACTGATCTGAGCAGACTGCCAAACTGATGCAGCATTAGATAATGTTCTGTGGTAGTGTTCACTTTGGAAGTTGATGGGAAAATATGTTCCTTAACTTCAAATGTGGTCTACTGACTGTGGTTTACAACAAGATGCATTTAATTATTACTGTTTATATGTTACAGATCATTCAGTTACAAGCTAAGCTACCTTTGCTTGTCAGACTAACATGTCACTTGTACTGTGATTTTGTAGACTGGAATACTGATCAATAAAGGTTAGTAATGACTAAAGGATGACCTTTCTTACCAAGTTAATGGATAAATATACCTTATTAGTTAGCTTCAAACTTCCCACTTCTCACAACAAGAGTATAGCAGTAAGACTGTGTTAAATTATGAATGCTATTATAGATACGTAGAATGAAGGATATACAGGACTTAAATGGCAATTTGAACTTTAACCAGATCACAGACTTCACCTTTTTTCTCCAGACAGTGGATTAAAACCCAGGAGTAGACGCTTCTATGGAAATAGCAAAAACTCAACCACAATCAAAGTATTATTCTGATAACACACCAATCACTATCACTCTGGTTTTAGTTGTAGTAAACTCTGGAGCTCATCTCTTTGAGTCCAGTTAAATAATGAGGTAACAGTCAGTACTGCAGAATAACCTCAGTAAGCTGTAGAATGGTGAGTTGTGGAATGGTGTGTGTTTTAATAATGTACAGTCACATTTTAGGAACAGGACACAATATTAGATAAAGAATAATTACTTCATATGACTAAGCAAGGAGGTGAATAAACAATCCCCAGCTACTTGTCGGAATCCCCATTAGAAGCATCATCATTTTCAAACACTGCATCAAACTGCACTTGCCAGATATAACTGACCAGAATATCCCAATGAACCTCAAATTTCAGAAGATTAAAGACCTGGCTGGTATCATCAATGTCAGTTCAAGAGTGCCTACTGTATAGAAACTTGGGCCATAAAACAGTGCTCAAATTTTAATTACTTAACACTGGGAAACTCTGTAAATGTAATGAAAGAATTGTGCACTATAATGGTGCTGTCATGTATGTAAGCTAGTTGATGTATCCTTTCAACGCATAGGGAAGACGTAGAAACGTCAAATCCAAACATCGACTCCTCTATGCCACTTCCCAGGTGGTCCTAAGGGTACATGCCAGGTTTGTTGAGGGTCAGTTCAGCGGTTTGCCAATTTTGAGCGGACGTATACAAACTTTTGTCAAATAATAATTTAGATATCCCCTGAACATAATTAACTCACTGATAAGTGGCTAATTACAACAAATTAAGAGTTCACAGTAATTTTGAGAAAATAAACATTAAGAGCATACTAAAAACCGGCTTTACTAATGGTCGATGGGTATCTATCACTTGGAGAGTCAGGTAACGATATATACGCACTTCCATTAAGGTTAAGTTAGTAACGTTTCACTCACCATATTACTTTGTTAATATGGGATCAAAATTGATACTTATTTTAACAATGGAAATGACATTCCCACTAATTTACCCTCAATTCAAACACTGTGGTGAAGAGAGAACCAATGGTGGGGACCTGATAACTGGTAACAATTCTTCAGGGCTATATCAGGTCTTAGAACCACTTAGGATTATCGTTCCAGGACCTCCAACAAGTTAAAGAAACTCTTACTTGTCCATCCTGGGACGACCTCCTCCTCAATTTTAAACTCGTAAGGCCAGCAGCTCCTGTACACATTATTAAGTTTTTTTTTTTTTCTGTCAATAGCACTTTATTTTAGAAATCCTACTTTTGTGGAACTAAATTTTTGGTTATTTCTCTGGTATTAGCTGAACCTTGTTCTTTTGTTTAATCCTTTGTTTAGTTACCATTATGTGCTCAATATTTTACTTTTTTTTAAGTTTTGATTTTTTACATAATTTATGTGAATGTGTGCATTTCTTTTACTTTATTTATCTGTTTAATTAATTCAGTATTACCTGTGATTATCTGAGTGGTATTAGTTAAGTTTAAGTAATTTTAATGTATTTTATTTATAGGTATTTTTTATTAATTTAGACTGTACGTATACTAATTGCTTATTATTTTAATCTGTTTTTCACTAATAATTTATAACTTGTATTGTTTAGATACAAAGTTCTATTATGTTGTCATGCATTTGTTTCTATTAATTTGACTTGTGTTAATTATTTGCCTTGTAGTATTGTATTTCAGTCGTTGTATTGTATTCTGACGCTGACCTCATTTGTCCAGTATAATTTTAATGCCACCCTAAACAGTTGACAAGAAAGAGGGAAGAACTGTGGTATTCCAAATATCAAACGTACATTTCCATAACATTAGTTCAAACTACTGGAATTCGGCTATTTTCCAATCTTTATTTGTCATTGGAAGTCCACTGTTGATTTGCTTTGTAGTTATAGGCCTTTCTTAGATTTTCTAATTAGTGAGTTGAGGCTTAGTAATTATAAAGTTGAATTTTACTGGTCGTTCGTACGACATTCGTGATGGTGGATATGCAAAGTAGTAATCAACATTTGACTTGCAATTGAATGGATATATAAAGTAGTAATCAGCTTATAATTTGCATTTGATTGGATATACAAAGTAGTAATCACGGCCCGGCATGGCCAGGTGGTTAGAGCACTTGACTCGCAATCTGAGGGTCGAGGGTTCGAATCCCTGTCCCGCCAAACATGCTCGCCCTTTCAGCCGTGGGGGCGTTATAAAGTGACGGTCAATCCCACTATTCGTTGGTACAAGAGAAGCCCAAGAGTTGGCGGTGGGTGGTGATGACTAGCTGCCTTCCCTCTAGTATAACACTGCTAAATTAGGACGGCTAGCGCAGATAGCCCTCGTGTAGCTTTGCGTGAAATTCAAAACAAACAAACAAATTAGTAATCAGTCTGTAATTTGCAACTGATGCAACTGAGAAGGATGATGATTGGGTGTTGTACCTTAGTAAGGTGAGCTCTTATTTGAGCCTGATTCGATCGTCAAGAAGTCAGTGTAAGAAACAACTGTGTTCTGTTATTTGTTGCTAAAGTTGTGTAATGTATTTTGCTTTTTACTCTTCAAGTTTACTTACCTGTAAGTAGTTGTAGATATATATATATTAGGTCGTCAAGAAAATATTGTCGCCTTTTGGAACACTTTCATAAATCACCCCCAAAAAACGTACATCATGTATAAATAGTTAAACGAAC